GAAAGGGCAGGGAAGACCACAGTAAACCTTTCCTTAGAACCCACAGTCCTGGGGAGCTGTGGCCATAATTCCAGAGGTAGGTGCCCAACCTGAGTGAAGAAAAGCAGCTGGGAGGAAAGCAGACTGGTGACTCTACCTGCCGGGTATGCATGCGGACGGTGACCTGGCCATATACATTGCCCTGGTTCACCATACTTGAACAGCGAACCTGAACCACTTGGGCTGGCTCTAAAGACTCTACGAAGCTCCAGCGGACGGTCTTATATTGGAGGTCCCAGACCATGTCCTGAAGGCAGAAGAGAACAAGTTCTACTGAGTTTTTCCCTCCTTTTAGGAAAGCTGGTGCTTCCTTCCTCACCTGCTCTCTCTTCTTGCAATATTACAACCAACATGCAACATTTCCCACCAGATGCTTTCTTTTCAACCATCCCAAGTTCTCACTGAACTATTGCTCAAGCCCACCTCACAACAACCCTCTTTTCATTTAAATCACAACTCAAGACCAACCTACCTCCTTGAGGACCCGACTCCAAATCAGTGAAAACCACACTCCAAACTGACAGCTTGATTTCCCCCCTTTTTTACTGAGTTTACTGGGGTGATATTCATTAATAAAATTATATAGGTTTCAGGTGTTCAATTCTATAATACATCATCTGAATATTACATTGTGTGTTCACCACCCAACCTCCCATACACTTTCATATTCTGGTAATTATTGCATGTATTGCTGCTGATTGCATATAGGCTGTCCCCCTCCCCTTTTTAGCAGGGAAGAGAGGGATTTTACAGGGATATAAAATCCTACCACTGCGAGACTTGGTTAGCTATCCCTGTCCCTAGGGAGATAAGGCCGAACTGATAGAAACTGAAGTTCTTATTCTTGAATCACAAAGTCCCCCTCCTTGGGGGTCTCCCAAAGTACCTAGCACCCCTGTTACCACACAATGTAAGCCTTGTGAATGCTTGTTAAACCCTTTTTATAGTGTAGGCAAGTGTAGGCTGGCCTACTGTGGCCCACACCCTGAGCTCAAGATCCACACCTAAGGTTTCAGTACTGCTTGTGGAGGGACTTTCTCCTTCCTCATTTGCATGGCCCTTACCAAAGTCCACATCAAGTCATTATCATTCAGGCAAAAACAATGGAACTTCAACTTTTGCTTTAAACTTCCTACATTTTCAAAACTGACCTTACTTAAGAAAACCAAAGGTGATGTCTACAATATGCCCATCCAGCATCCCACAATTCTAAGGCCGAGAACCTACCGGAAAACAGTTTTCAGTTGCCAAGGTATGAAGTCGGTCATGGTCTGAGCTAAAAAAGAGATACATATCATTGACTTCTGCTTTTATGATAACCTGTATGAAAGTTGAAAATGACCCTGAAAATGAAAAACAATTCATTTTTACAAATATTTTCTTTACTCCTACCATAGGCCAGGTGATATGCTAAGTCCTGGAGAAACAAGATGAACAGCAACCTGATTTACCAGAAAATCCTGAGCTCCACAGCCAAGTGAAGTTAGGTCTGAATCTCAGGAGCAGAAAGAAATTGCTCTGGAATTATCATATACATCCTTAAGATGGGCAAGAGATGCTGACATGGGGACTAGTTTTTGTTCTAAGCTGCAACACAGAACAAAACCCAACATAACAACAATCAAAAGCTCATCTTCTCTTCTTACCGCAGACACATCACCAGTGCCAACTGGCTGGGCCTTGAATCTTACACTTCATCTTTGAACCTTGCCAAAGGTAATCATCTATCTTTTCTGGTCCATGCTCCCCTCCCCCATGCCCATCTTTGTTACTGTCACAGCGTCCTAGTCATGCTGATTCTATGCAGTAAGAGTAAGAAAACAGATAGCAAACCCAGCCTTTGTACATACAAGATTTTAGGAAGATTCCTAACTGAGGAGTTTCATATAAACCTAAGAGTATAGATTAGTTTCTTTATGTACATATTCATGACTTGCCCTCACAGTTTAATACTTCCTGGGCAGTTTAAGTCTTTATCCCTTTAAAAATTCTTGACTCTAATTCCAGAATGGGTAAGGAATTAGTTCTATCAGCTTCCCTCCCACCTCTATTTCTAAGAGAAAAGATTCCAACTCATTTCTCCTGCTGTAGCTCTAGACTAGACTATGCTGAATTGTGGTGATAGCTACCTCAACCACTATGTCTGGCACCTCTGAATGAACCCTTCCTCCTCACTATACTGACCTAGAAATCTTCAGTAGAAATAAATTCCCTTTTCTATGAGTTCACTTACTATTTTACAATGGAACTTACACTAAAAATAAAGACATCTGCTTCTGGTAACATTATGGACTGGACTAATGTAAAACTACACCCACTATAAACATCTAGAAATGTAGGATAGAATATGATACACACACACACACACACACACACACACACATTTTTAAATACCCTGTCCTAGTTCACTAGAAAGATAGGTAAATCCCTAGATGCCAGAAAGGAAGAGGGAACGAACACCAGATGGAAAGAATACAAATCTGGATCCAGAAATAGGGTCTGAAGACTAGGGGCTGGTCTCTTCCTAAAACCTTGGACCCTCCAAAAACAGGGAGTTGGAACTGAAATCCCTGAATAAAGCTATGACCATACGAGTCCTGCACCTGCAGGAAATAGAGACTAGAAAAATAGCCCACCAACCTAGAGATGATGCTTCTCTCTGTCTAGGGCTGTGCGTGGGAGAAAAAAATAAAAACAAAGAAACTGAAAAATTAAAGCTCTAAGCCCACATTATACGCAAATGTGGATATGAAATTTATGGTGTAAGAATTCCTAAGTTTGCCGTAACCGGTTTGGCTCAGTGGATAGAGTGTCGGCCCGCGGACTGAAAGCTCCCAGGTTCGATTCCGGTCAAGGGCATGTACCTTGGTTGCAGGCACATCCCCAGTAGGAGGTGTGCAGGAGGCAGCTGATCGATGTTTCTCTCTCATCGATTCTAACTCTCTATCCCTCTCCCTTCCTCTCTGTAAAAATCAATAAAATATATTTTTAAAAAAAGAATTCCTAAGCTAAGAAATTAACATAAAAATTGATACCTGGCCAATGATATCCCTGAGGTATCTGGCAGAAAC